GTTGTCCAGATCCTTTCTTTCTATTTTTTAGTAGAGATGGGGTCTCGCTCTTGCTCAGGCTGGTCTCGAACTCCTGACCTTGAGTGATCCACCCACCTCGGCCTCCCAGAGTGCTAAGATTACAGGCGTGAGCCACCGCGCCCGCCGTAGATCTCCAATTTTTTTATTGTTAAGTGAAAAAAGCAGAAAATGGTGCAGAATAACGTATTAGCTTGTGTATGCATTAAACTAGGACAAACTAACTTGGGGAATGAGAACTCACTGGAGGGAAGGCATAGGAGACAGACTTTTCACTGTATTCTTAAATTTTTTGATATTCGAACCATGAGAGTGTTATATCTATTCAAACAGTTAATGTTTAAAATTTCTCTGGCATCTTTACTTTGTTATTAAAATACCCAGGCTTCCTTTATTTTATAAAAGTTTACCTGATTAGAATTAACATATCAGGTAAACTAGTACTTGTAGGCAAACTTTTCAAAAACTCAGAGTTGTTTTCATTAAGTTCAGATTCCTGAACAATATGTGTTCCTTATTGTAATAATTTAAGATCCAGATAGTACATTTAGTTTGAGGCTTAGTATACCTCTTACCAAATGTATATAAATTTTAAAAAGTACTTTATTTTTCTTAAGATCTTCACTTAAATGAGCTTTAACAAATTGGATCTTCTGTTTTAAACAATCAAATTAGATTTTCATGGATCATTTGTCTGCTAATTAAGGTCAAGAAAAATATATTTTGGAAAAAACACTAAAGGCGTATGTTTCCCTGTGTATCTTGTTCACTCGCCCACTTTGTAATGTCAGCTGCCTCTTGTTTCCATGGGTTACACAGATGCCCTGTAAATGGTTTTGCCTAATATGTTTCAGTATTTGTTTATATTTATTTATGGGCTTAATTTCCAGAAATCTCAAAAAGAATTATAATCATAACTACAATACCAGTCAAATTTACATAACAATGTCTCTTTAAGGATTTTAAGAGCTTTATAATATTAAGAAATCTCACTGTTTTCACTATGTAAATTCACATGATCAGTTTTTTAACTTACACTCTTATTAAAGACAAGTGCAGGCATAAAGAATTAGTACTTGTGGACAGGCGAGGTGGTGCACGCCTGTAATCCCAGCACTTTGGGAGACCAAGTAAGAAGATCCCTTAAGGCCAGGAGTTCGGGACCAGCTTGGGCAACATAAACCCTGTCTAAAAAAAAAAAAAAATTAGTGGCACGTGGTGACAAGTGCCTATAGTCCTAGCTGTTTGGGAGGCTGAGGCAAGAGGATCGTTTGAGCCCAGGAGTTAGAGGTTGCAGTGAGATATAATCACACCACTGCACTCCAGCCTAGGCAATAGAGTAATATCCTGTCTCTGAAAAAAAAAAAAGAATTAGTACTTGTCAAAGTTGATTGTACAAATTAGGGCATTCTTGTCATACCCAGGTAAATTAGAGTCCAGGGACCAGGGTAGAAACACACTCAGGGCACATAGCAGCAGCACCAAAAATCAAATTTTATGCAAGGCCAGCTATTGAAACAACCTGCTATAACCCTAAAACCAGTTTTACCTAGTAGCTGCTGAAATGACCTGCCATGACTCTAACACTAGTTTTACCTACCATTGTCATTCACCAATCAGAGCTTGCCAGTTCCCAAAAGCTTTTCTAGTGCTGATGAGCTTTCTTTCAAAACAATACATGATACTTTTTTCTAAAGTATCTAAAACTGCCAACCTTCTTTTTGTTCTTTGGACTTACTGAAGGCCACCCCAGTCTGTATGTATGCCCCAAATTGCACTTCTGTGATTCCCAAGTAAAACGTTTAATTTAGAGATTCATCTCTATATTTTATTTTGACTTTGACACACTTGGTGTCAGAAGCGGGATCCAAAACAGACTCACCTCAGGGAGATGAACAGCCCTTGGAACTATGGCATGAGCTACCCCTTGAGCCTGCAAACTTCTGCAGGTCACCTCTTTTCCCCCTGGTGAGTCTCTGTCAGATGAAGCTCCTATTTTTGATTTTGGTTCAGTTCAGTTTTATTTGGGAATTGGTTAGCAGGGGTCTTTCCCCCTCCTGGTTCTAAGATCTTGTGTTTAGCAGGGATTTTCTCACTTTGGATTATAGACCTGGTTAAGAGGAATATTTTTTCTTCCTGGTTATGAGATTTCCTGTTTAAGAGGGATTTTTTTCTCTTGTTAAAGAAGGCTTATCATTCTTCTTGGGAAGCACATACTTTATTTTCCAATTCATTTGCGTGCTTAGACTTTAATATGGCTTTAATGTATTCAGCATTAAATCGAATCACCTACATAAATTTATTTATAAGTAGGCTCTCAAAATGTAAAGGCATGCCAAGATGGCCTCCCCTGTCTGGGATTCCAGCTGGTGACATGTTCAAACATGGGAATCATTCAAACAGTCTGTTTTTCTTTAAACTAAAGGACCCTGGCTATGAAATCATCTAGGATGCATGTCTCAGTTGTCATCTTGGGGCTCCAAAACACATTCAGGACTCAAAGATCGCCTCCCTGCAAAATACGGTTGCTGAGACTCCAAAGCCTTTCCCTCCCCTTCCTACACCTCCTCCTCCTTATCC